CACATATCCCAAATTCCACACATCCCAAATTCCACACATCCCAAATTCCTACATATCCCAATTCCTACATATCCCAAATTCTTACACCCCCTAATTTTCACATCCCGAAATCTCTGCACCCCCAAATTCTAATATTACCAAGTTCCTACACCTCGAAATCTCTACATCCCAAAATCTCCACATTCCCAATATCTAATATTTCCAAATCCCCACACCCCCAAATTCCTACACCCCTAAATCTCCCCATCCTTTATATCCTCCACATGCAATATTTGTTTCAACTTATATTGACAGTTTGACTATAAACACATGTTATTTACCAAAGTGGAAATGCTTGTACCCATGAAGTTAACAAATATTTATTTGAAGTTACATTGACAGTTCTACTGTCACGTTACACATATACATACTTATTAAAAAGTACAGTACAATACAGAAAAGTTTCATTTTAATGTACATTTATATGGAAGATTTATTTATTGAAGTTGTGCAGCTCATTCCAAATCCGCAATCTTGCTTTATTTTTAACTTTGTCATATTATACTTTGTTTGTCATATATCATTTAATTTTAATTCAATTTTAAACTTCACCTCGAAGTAATTGACACTTCAATTTATTGGTTCGATTTTATATAACGGTGTCTGACAAATGCTCTGTGTAGAATCAATAAAGTTCCACACACATGTATCACGAACTAATATACCGACAATTATTAACTTCCATATTTTTCAGCAGTTCCAATTAACGTCGTGCCTTTATTACGAAGTACTAAAACAAAAACGATAAAACCGTTCGATAGTTCGGTCTTGATCGAGCCACGAACATTAAAAAAATTATAAATCTCCCTCGAACTCTCTTCGAAACACGTCGACCGATCGAACAACTTTAAAATAACTCGCCAGTTAAACGTAGTTATTTCATCCTCATCCCCTTGCTTTCAATTTTTCCAACTTTACCGTGGACTTTTCTTTCCCCAGTTCCCGAACACGTTCCTCCGTTTCTTCTCCTTCCGCGTAACAATTTTTTTTTCCTCCTTTCTTCGGCGCGACGAGCGATCGGATGTCATCGAATAACCCTCGCAGATCCCACGGGACCGGTTGCATCGAAGAGGATGTTCTTACGCTTTGTTAGATCGGGCCATTTAGAATTTCATAGCACGCGGCAACGATTTATCATCGGGTCGTTGCAGATAAATTCGTAAGACGCTGCGAGGGCGATTCCGCTCTCAATCTTTTAGTGATTTACTCGTTCGTTTTGCTGGACGATGATCCGAGGAAACTGAAGGGGATCTGTGCTGAAATGGACCACTTGTTTTTCACGTCTTTGTTTCCTCGTTTCACTTTTTATGCCTTGCGTTGGTTGAACTTTTCCGACACTGATTTTTCTAATTACACGTGATTTGAGTTACTTAGGATACTAAGTAAAGATGTTATATAAATAGATGTATGTCGGAATATTTTTAAGTGGCTTTATATTTTTAGATTACTGTATTTCCATATTTTTATTCAAATTGTTCTATTTTTTAAATTTTTCTACCTTTAGATCTATGTAAACCTAGATTTTTACATTTTAGAATTTCTGAAGTCCGAGATTTTTATGTTATTAGATTCCTATATCCCTAGATTAGTATATTTCTAGGTTTCTGGTTCTTTAGATCTGTATATGCTCAGTTTTATGTAATTCCAGATTGCTATAATCCCAGATTTCTGTAGTCCTGGGATCTCTACAATACTGAATCTCTAATTATCTCTAAAATATCCCTAGATGACAATCTCCCTAGATACTAATAGTTCTAGATTCCAATCTCCCTAGATTACAATCTTCCTAGGTCCCAATCTTCCTAGGTCCCAATCTCCCTAGATTCCAATCTCCCTAGGTTCCAGTCTCCCTAGGTCCCAATCTCCCTAGATTTCAAACTTCCTAGATCCCAATCTCCATAGGTCCCAATCTCCCTAAATCCCAATCTCCCTAAATCCCAATTTCCCTAAATCCCAATCTCCCTAGATTCCAAATCTCTCTAGATCCCAATATCCCTAGATTCCAACACTCCTAGATCCCAACTTCCCTAGATTCCAATCTCTCTAGATCCCAACTTCCCTAGATTCCAATCTCTCTAAATCCCAATTTCCCTAAATCCCAATCTCCCTAAATCCCAATCTCCCTAAGTCCGAATCTCCCTAGATTCCAAATCTCTCTAGATCCCAATCTCCCTCGATCCCAATCTCCCTAGATTCCAATCTCTCTAAATCCCAATCTCACTAGATTCCAATCTCTCTAAATCCCAAT